GCAGGCGACTTGCGTTCACAAGAAGGTATGAAGTTTCATTAGTTATCTTCTTTCTACTGATTAGATAATCATCAAAGTGATCGAATAGGTCATTAAACAAATCTACCCAAGGCAATTTCAACATCCTTGTGCGTCACCTATTGAACTAAATGTACAAGGATGACAATCACATATTAGTGAGAACATGATTTCTATAGGCAACACAGAGTAATCGATGATTATTGATAAGTTGCATATTAAGTTATTTTTAAGTAGCTCAAACTCCGAAGTCAATAACCTTTTTTTTTTTTAATTCGAATTTTACCGGATATCCATTTCGACCGGAAAGATGTCTCTGCTCCTAGCACTTACACTTCGAAGAAAACTGGACCATGTCACTTCGGTTTAACTATGGGTGTCCCGGAGACAACATTATGGTAAACAGTTCTATTGCGTCTGATGATAAGAACTCTGAACTTTACTTTACCCATTAGGAGCTGAGGAGCAACGGGAAGCGGTCCAAACTAGCGATGGTGATAGTGTTACATCGCCATCCAAGTCAGTTCAACCCACCACCATCAGATCCGACCCATTGACAGAAAACCCAAAATCTTCTCCTTCAGGTAATTTGTCTAAACAATGATTCATCATTCCACAGACAATTTGACTTCCACCTTCTTGCATGTTAAATTTCGATACAAAATTGACATCAAAACAAAATACTGCACGACTCCTGGACTCGAATCGAACGAAAAAGAACTTTCCTTTTGCGTAATAATAATTTTTTTGCGGTATGATCTATATGAACAAACTCTCGGCATTCGCGTTGTTTTGTCCTTACTTTATCCATTGTCACATATAATTACTATATGTATCATATCAGGCTATCAGCACAGGTTATTCTTGTTTTGCCTTTAAAATACTTAAATCAGGTATGGGTACCCGGTAGGAAAAAATACCTTGAATGCTTGAGCACCGTTTAATGGTAGCTCGGTTAAAGCCGGGGTAATAATATGATTGCAGGGCCCTCAGGGAGAACAGTATGAATACTGGGTAAACAAGACATATTATTATTATTATTTTACATTTTTGCCACTCTTCACCCAGGTGGTAAATGGGTACCCTGTATGATGCGAAAGCCAATGTGGTATGCTTAGCAGTTCGAGCCTAGTCGCTTTTGTTAGAATGCTCCCAAGGAAATAGAGAAAGTGCATACATTGTGTGCGGGCAAGCCAGAATCCGATGATCGGGTAATAATGTAAAGCGCTTAGAAACTCGGATATGCCCTTCGTATTTAGCGCTATATAAGCAAAAATATCATTATTAATATGAAAACGTATCCAATCATCTCCATAAACATGCTTAACACATGCGAGCTGTGAACAAGGATTTGCTGTAATACATTACATACCCGAGTCTTATCATTTCTTTACCATACAATCATCAGATTATGATAATCTTAGAGGTGGTCGGTAGTTTCCCCATCTCACTAGAAGACTATACTCTGCTGAGATCCCCCTAAAAAGCGACTTTACATTATTTTCTTTCTTTCAGTGGAGCCAGTAGCGGGACCTGGCACTGCCACTAAGGGTGCTCCTGGTAATTATTCTGGACAGACAGATAAAGAGGAAAAGGGAGATCCACAGAAAACATATTCCTCTTCAAAACCCAAAGAAACGAAACCCCAAAAAGGTGCGATGCCATGAAAGAATAGGGATTAGTTTGATAATTATTAGTGGGCAAGTACAAGGTATTTGATGTTCCGTACGTTACCAAGTCATAATGTACATTGTATGTGTCATTTCACTGCACTTGTTCTGATTCGAGCTCTAGTAGGGTTAAGTACTTGATACAATATGAATTCCTTACATAAGAATATATCAAAATTTCGGGCTGGAACAAGGATTTACTAAAAGACATTATCATTTCTTTCTAATGCAGTCATCAGACTATGGTAAACTTGGGATGGTCGGTTATCCATATCTCACTAGAAGACGATTCTGCCGTGATCAACCTGAAATCGACATTACATTATTTTCTTTCTTTCAGTGCTGCCAGGAGCGGGACTTGACCCCCACGCTGAACGTGCAACTCGTGAACGTTCTGGAAAGTCAGATAAAGAGAAAGAAAGAGAACCACAGACAACTGGTTCCTCTTCAAAACCCAAAGAAACGAAACCCCCAAAAGGTGCGATGCAATAAAAGAATAGAGATTAGTTTGATAATTATTAGTGGACAAGTCCAAGGTATTTGACGTACCGTCAAGGCATAGATGTTCATTGTATGTGTCATTTCACTTCACTTTTTTTCTGATATGAGCTCTAGAAGCATTAAGTACTTGATACAATATGAAGACATATCCTTACATCTCCATTAGGATATATCGAATTTTCGAGCTGGAACAAGGATTTGCTAAAATACATTACATATCTGAGTAATCACTTATCATTTCTTCCTAATGCAATCATTAGATTATAGTAAACTTGGGTTGGTCGATAATACCCCAATCTCACATAAAGACGAGACTGCTGCGACCCCCCCCCCCCCTAGGCCAAAAAAAATCGACAAAACGTGGTGGATCGTGGCTTCATCTTTTAAATCTTCTCCTTCATATCTCGAGCCTTTCTGAATCTTTTAGGATCGCCGCAATTTCTCTGGTCAACACAAATTTTCATTGCATTCAATTTTTTTTAATATACACCATACCTAATTCCCCTTAAACCCCCTTTCTTCAGATCTAAATTGGTATTTTTCGATATTGTGTTAGATGTATTCAAAAACCTGTTGGAAAATATCCAATCGTAAACAATGGCTTTTGAGACAATATTGTTTCCAGTATTTCAAATAATTTTTACCTTCATACGAATATGTGACATTAAAAACCATTACTTTAAATGCTTATATGAACTATATTCTGCAAACAGTACCCTGCAATCCCCCACCGAACCCAACAACTCCAAATTCAGGGTCCAAAGATCCGAAAGACGAAGAGGGAGCTAGGGAAAGGAAGACTAAAGAATTGTCAGAAGAAGAAAAGAGAGCTACAGAAAAAAAAGCTAATGAACTGAAACTTAGCAAGGAGGGCGCTGCAGCTGCCGGAAATGGTACCAATGAAGATGGGACCCCGAAGCAGAAAGCTAAGGAAGAGGGAGTTGAAGCAGGGGGTACTGAGCTCCCTGCTGAGGATGTCAGCAAAGAACGTCCTGTATCCATCTCAGTTTGTACATCGGCGTATGACTACAACGTACAAGGCCTTGTATCCTTCTTGAAAGATATTATGAAGGATCAGCCGGAACTGATCAAAGAAGTCAAATTCCATGCGCTACCGTACAACGATCTCGATCATTATACATTTCCAAAAGATCACCCGGTCGATGTGATGCTTCTGTGCCACTCCATCAACAACAGAAGGTTTGCAATCACAGACGTCATGGATGCCCTGTACGATAAGTACCTTCCATACTGTGCGAGAGTCGTAGGTAATTACTGCTCCTTCTTAAGTAAAACGGCTTGCAGGTGATGTACTGCGAGAAAGTATCTTTGCATGATCTGTAAGATGGTGAATCGAGGGGTGTCGCGGGATCATTCTGATTGTAGGTTTTGTCTGACCACATTTGCAGACAAGTTAATAGCTGAAGAATTCCCCAAAAGGGTCGTCATATTTCCAAATATATTTCCAAATATATTTCCAAATGGTGACATGAGCAGATGGAAAAAGTGAAAGTGGCTCTAAATATATTCGACTCTTACTTTCAGAGATTTTTTGTTGTTTTTGTTTTAACGAACAGAGAAAGTTTCGGGATGTGCCGATAAGGAACACAAACTAAAATACTTTAGCTGAGATTTCGCGGGGGATGGGGGTGGGAGGATGGAGTGTAATTTCCAATATATCATTCGAACGACACCCCGTACATTCGTAGTGCGGCCTTTGTTCTGCTGTTATAACTTTATTGGTGTGATTCTGTGTAATTCAATACGTCTGAAAAGGGGCAATGAAGAATATTATGTTAACAAATCTTGGGAAAATTCACGACAATATAATTTGAAATGAATCCTATCTTGTATAATGCTGGAATATTTCATGCTATTTTCGAAAAATCCTGTTTTCTGATTTTTTCCAGGAAAGAACAAGATGGGGGTGATAGTCCATGACTTTGAAGATATGAGAGAAACAGTTCAATCATCTCGCATGAGTTCATTCAGGTACAAGCAACCAAAGGCTTTCGAGACTACCAGCCTTCAGATAATATGCGGACTTTTCGAGAAGGAAGGGAAGGACCTAAATCAGATGCTAAAAGCAGACCGAGAAAAGCTCCCGGTGTTCCTCAAGAATGCGTCAACATGTCCAGAAGAAATGATGAATCAAATCACAGAGAAACAAGGATTAAAACAGAAAGCAAAGGACGGGATTGTTACATTGGGAAACCAAATGTCTTCCTGTAAGTAATGCATGACAACATCAGTTTTTTTTTTAACTGTGATTCTCTTTTAGTTCTGTAAATGCTATTCATAAACATAAACACTGACAAACATTGCCCATGAAGTGTCAAAGATTTCTAAAATTATATAATGAATCAAACAAAAAGGAAGGTGTGACTGAAGCTTTCCAACCACAAAATCTATTCTGTCATGAAAAGCACACTATCATATTTTTTTTCTTTATCAAATAACCTCCATTCCAGTTTAGTTATCTATTTAGTTTATTTTTTGGAGGGCCAGTCCAGGCTAATTCGCCGACATATTGGCCAACAAGATGTTAAATGTGACGACACAAAATATCTAAAATATCAATAACTGTTGCCCTTCCTATCTGTTGTGGCTAGCTAATGCTTGTCAGACCTGGAGAACACTCCCTTCCTCAGGGCAAGACAAAGTCTAATTTCCGACATAAGCCCCATGTATAATGTCGTGAAGCTGTATTGACATGTACGATTTGGGCATGTAGTCTTGTCATATATATTACGTGTGACATTGAGTACAGTATCTCTCTCTCTCTCTCTCTCTCTCTTTATGAAGCTATTAGGTCCTTAGGGGAATCAATCCCGTCTATAAGATGGAGTCAAGATAGCACATCCGAAGGATCTAGGGTGGATCCAAGAGAAGTTGATCGAAACGATCAGGGTACGATTTGCAGTGCTAAAGCTGAGGATAACAAGACAAAACGGTCGGCTAATAAAAGGAAGCCTTCATCTGAACAGGCTAAGCGACCATGTACGTAATAGCTATTAAACTGTCCCACCTCGAGGGTTTTCCAGTCTTCACAGTAATTCACTCACTTTCTAAAATCGTCAACCCTCCCGAGATCCCGACCAACAGACAGGCAGTGGGGCTTTTCATATATTAATCATTTTAAACGATGTCGGAAAGTACCACCCGACACAATAAACCGAATTTCCAAGTGTCCATGAACGTAGACTATGGATCATATCCCTGACTAGACAGTCGTAGAAGCTGACTCGGCTTCAAATAGTAGACTATCGTAATACTGGTCTGACGTCACTACGATTCTGAGCGACTTAGCATTTTCATCGTTTTAAGGAAGGATGACATCCCACATCCAAGATTGAGATTTCGTAATCATATGAACATTTATATTTTCAGTCATTAAGGATTTAAATAATATTTCAATGATCATCTGAAATGCTATATTTCAAATTTGATCGTAATCAGATTGTATAGTGTGCGGTGGGCATGACAAACAAGAACCAAGAAGTATATAATGTTTTTCTCAATGCCTGTTTTGTAGGTCTACCGAAGAAAAACACATCCGGTGGTTCTCACCAGAAACCTACAGCTAGCATGGATGAAAGGAACCTAAATCAACCGAGTGAAGCATCTTTCATAGGGGAGCGAAGGCCAGGCACAACTATCGCAGCGGCAGCGGCAAACACCCAAGGTACACCTGACCAGCAGTCAATGGCTGCTGGAAGAAATGTCACATCTGCACCTCAAGGGTCACACGCAACTTCATCGCCTCGACGTATCTCAATCTCAGTCTGTTCTTCCGCCTACGAGCGCAACGTCAAAGGGTTCGTGTCCAAGCTTACCGAGTTGCAAACCAGACAGCCTCATTTGATCGCCGACGTCCGTTTCCGTAGCCTACCGTACAACGACATTGATTCATTCAAGTTTCCGTCAAGCGACCCCGTTGATGTGATGGTCCTCTGCCATTCAGTCCAAAATCGAGGGTTTTCAATCACCAATGTACTGAATGCTCTCTACGAAAAACATCTGCAATATTGCCATGATGTGATTGGTAAGTTAATACCTTTTAAACGATGACGTTGTAATTTTGTTATCAGTTATAGCTCCATCCGTGTTGACAGATTTCTTGTTCGTTCTTTTTAATATTCAAGCATGTTTCATCCAAATTCCTTACCTTATCGGTTACTTTAAACAAAAATTGAATCATATTCGATACGCAGTCATGATATGTATAATCTGAATTCTGACATGAGAGTTATTGGGACCGTATTCATAATAGAGACGAACTTTCCTCAAGACTAGGTAACCTACCAGTTTTAGGGATCTTTCTCCAAAAGAATGTTCATGCATTAACTCATAAAAGTTAATACTGTAACCTTCAACTTTCATATGGTTATTCCACACTCTAATCAGCTTATCTTCGTTCACGAGTCGCTGGAGACATCAGATTTGATAATCAGGAAACCGGAATAGGGTAGAATAAAACAAATTATAAAATGATGAAGCGGGTCCTAATCCAATGATTGGTTGAGAGCGTACACATGACCGGGCATTTTTTTCTTGCCTAACACGTAATTTTGTTAATGACCGGTAATGCCTGTTATAAAACATTTTTACATAACACATCAAACAACATCTTATACAACAAATGATACACATTATTTTGATCGGGCATTAGTAAATTTACCCACGCTCGGTACCTTCGAAACAGTCCAGACACCCGCGGCTATCGCCCCGGGCGTGTTAGACTGCTCCAAAGGTACCTCGCGTGGGTAATTCTTACTAATGCCCTCACTGATGTGTATTATTTGTATATTAATGACCAGAGTTTAAAGCTGTCTTTGAAACTAAGTGGGTCATAATCACTATCTACCTGTTTTTTCTTCTTCAATATTTCAGGAAAGAAGAAGCTGGCCGTGATTGTCCATGATTTTAGCGACTGCAAACCTGAGACTCTTGAAGTCAGGATGGAATCGTTCAAGAGGTCACAACCTTTGACATTTGAGCTCGTTGAAACCGTGATCGTATGCGGTAGCCTGGAGAAACCAGGCAAAATAGAAATGAGAGATGAAGATATGACACGACTTACGACCTTCTTCGCACAAGCGAGATATGAACAGAGAGAGAACTATGCCGTCAAGCAATCATTTTATAAGAAAAGCTTCCTAGGAAGATTATGGTAATAACCAGCAGAACCCACAAATCAAAAGACGGAAGGAGGAGAGGAATTATAAGAATGAAGAAATAGCTCAACTCACAACAAATTATGTCTTTAGATTACTGAACGAAAAGCGATTCGGGTTATCTTCAAATATGCCTACATGTTTACATGTGGGCGAAACATGTTGGTCCAGTGGTCTGGTCTCTGGTCTGCCTACAAGAGGTCCCATATACGAAACATACATGTCCAAATGGTAAAAGGTCATTACCGGCGTGGACGCGGAAATGGATAATATCTCGCATGTTATATACCCCCCCCCCACACACACACACAAATGAACATATCATTAATGTCTACCCACTCACCACTCACAAAATTTCGATATTGATTGACATCGTACATTATGTCAAAGGTCATTGTACAAACATGAAATGTCACTGTGCGTATACGTCAAACGTCGTTGTACATACATCAAGGACATTGTACATACGTCAAAAGTCATTGCGTGTGCATACATCAAAGATCATTACCGACGCGGACGCAGAAATGGATAGGGACTTTTAGATTTACACGACGAGAACGTGGACCGCCACGTGTGACATCCTTTTAAGGTAATGTGGCGTCCTTATAAGGCACTGCCGGGCACGACCAAGTGCCTTAACACAATCAGGGACGTGATAAAGAAGGACTGGAATCAAGCCGCTCTCCTTTGACCCCATGATCCAAGCCGCCGAAAAGTTATGCGCTAATCTTCAACTGTTGACCAGGTGGTGAGATAAGAGAGCGCATGAAATTTCAGGATTTAGAATTCCTACATCAGAAAATGGTATCACAGCAACTGTTCGCTGTCCCTTCCAATGATTTCTCATCCATTGTTGAATGTGTAAAGAGTAGAACAAGCGAACACAAACTTGTGTAATTTCATCCTTTTTTAAACTTGAAAAATACAAAAAAACACGCAAAAACACGCATTAGCAAACTTAATGTTATTGAAGATTGTAAATCATGGATCAAATAACGGGACATTAAAACATGCACAAATTAGCGCATTATCCTAAAATATTGAGTTTTTGACAAGATGTAATTTTTCTTTTACCATCTCTGGCACACAAATGAAAGGAAGGACGGAGTTCTAAATTTGAAAATTTGTTTGATGTACTATTCCCAATAAAATCCCCATATAAAGTTTTTGATTTACACTGAAATTTTGCCGGTAATTTAATATTTTGTAATAAATGTAAAACTGGTGCCAGGCTTCCGAAAGTCTTCGCAGTGGAAGTGCGGTTCGGAGCATGGAACTTCAAAGCCAAGTGGAATGTTACACATCCCATTGTTATGCTTTAGAACTCAAGAATGCGTTTGAATAAATTACAAGAGTTTCGTCTCCTTTTCTTTCACCTCCCTGACACAATGTTACACGCGGCAGTCCACGCTCTCGTGTAAATCTAAAAGGCCCTAATATCCGGCATCTGATACACGTGATTACTGCACCCCTTACACCACACACTATTTTACGTGATGTCTTATACTTTATAACTTTACATTTAATTGTACATTTTTCCAGTTGCATCATACATGTATAAAATAAACAATGAACGGTCTATTACAGGATTTGTTTTCAGTTTTAAAGCAATTTTGTTGTTTTTTGCTTCTCGATGTAATGTAGACTGTAAAACTCAACACAATCGTGTACCTCTTTAATCGATTGATGATAATTTCGTGAAAACATAACGCTTATGACTGCCGCATTGCTGAGAGTAAATGTAAATATCAAATGATTGATTTTTAATTCCTGTATTATTTCACTGTTGGTCATGTACTAGGAACTGCTTTGCATGAAATGCGTTTCTTGGCTTCTTATTAGAGTATGAAAACATAAGAACTAGAACTGTACCGTCTTCATTAAGCAATTAAATACTGGTGATGTAACATTTTAACGACATACTTCTATCTACTTAATAATGCTAATATCGATGCTTAATTTCGTCCATTTGGACATTAAGCATTGAGTTAGCTCAATGCGCCTAATGTCATTAATGTAATGCTTTGCTTTGAAATAACCCGTTTCTTTTTTTAATTGTCTATGTACACTTTATGAGCAATAAATGTATCGATTCTCTATATGCTGTTGCTAAACAAATTGTAAAACATACTTTTTTTCTTGATGGAATACATTTTGGGAAACAGGATTTTATCACTAACATTTATGATTATACTGACAACACTAAAGGTAAAAAAAAGCACTTTAGTGCCGTTTAATATTTGCATCATGTCTTGGCGTTGACACAGTATAAGTAGATAATGCATATGAATATGTATGCATATATACAGTGGTATTTCACTGTAATTTATAGAAATGTGTAACTTTATAACGACATTGTACATTTCATTCAATTCAGAAATAGTAGATTGTAAATTCATTCTTTCTATTGAACTCATCTAAATTCTTTCCTCTGTAGTTGTTGATTCCTATGGCAATGACTCAGTCTGCACACATGTACATCGTACCCTATATATAAATATAAAAAGTATAACAATTTGCCATCTTTTGTTGGGCATATCATTATGTCAACAATTGGTCCATCAATCGTACAGACTCCCGGTGATTGTTTCGAATGTGAAATATTACACTTCGCTGTTCTCATTATTATTGTATATTGAATATACATGTATTCCACAATTCTTCTATCAAAAAGTTGGCGTTAATAATAAAGAGGGGGAGGGGAACAATTATGGCTACTCAACTGCATTAAGTCTTATTATGTTTTCGTAATATGCATATAATGCGATATTAATACAATAAAGACTACATATATTCAGGATTGTTTTTCTTTCTTTTGGTTTTGTTGCTATGATATAGTTTTATAGAATGTTAAGTTGCCTTTATTTTTCTTAGAGGACACATATATACTTGAAGTCGGTATGCCGCTATTGTAGTTGGTGTATCTTCTGTCAATGCCCCATACAATTAATAGCAAGACGGGGATATGTCCTCTGAAAGTTTGTATCTAAATGCTCATACGAGAAAAAAAAGTACAAGTAAATTGTCGCACTATGATATAATCTCATAGAATGTTCCTTTTCTTTTATTTGGTTTGTATGTATTACTTGAATTCAGTATACCGCTGTGGTAAGGGATCAATATGTTTTTGTCTATTCCGCCTCATAGTAAGACGGGAATTTCATGTTCTCGGAAAATTGGAATCTGAATGCTCATACAAGGAAAAAAGTACAAGTACATGTATCATGAATAAAAAAGCGATGTGTTCTGTACAACTACTATTTCCATCGGCACTTAAGTAAATGAGAAAACAGCCCCGTTTACTCTGTTGAAATTCACATGTTTATATTCTCTAGATAATATACAATTGCGTACTTTCAAAAGTCATGATTTCAGCTGCTTTTTTGTCGAAATAAAATGTGATAAAACCCTCGCAATTCATTCTTGTAGCGTGTTAATCTGTCCAACGTGATGTAGAATCATTATATATGTTCAAGGTGACGAAAATTTATTTAAAGGTGACCCATGCAATGCACATGTTTATTCTGCAGATCTGTATAGGTCTGTAAATCAACACAACTTTTGATTGTTTGATAAAAAATAAATATATATTTAACAATTATCTGCTAATTTTCCACAGCCTGATAAGCCCCGTCCTATCCAAATCCCCAAACACATTCGTGCTCCTTTTGATATCACAGCAAGCTAAAATAAGCCGAAGTAGGTGCACTTGCAATTTAATAGCATCACATGTTTTCACAGAATACCATCTAAAACTAACTTTGTTTCTGGTAAAACTGGAACCTGTCTGACAGTTCAATGGCTGTTGAGGTTGTGAGATGATATTGTGTAAACAAATGACTGTTGACATTCACTGAAGATATGAAGGTTCAGACCGACAGCACACCGCATGATAAATTGCATTATCCCAATTAATTGATTGATTAGTTGGTTGCTTTTATTCATATTTTATACAAATAATAGCGAAGAATAATACATTTTACAAAACATTTACATTTCTTTAAGTAATATGGAAATAAATAATACTGAATCATATTAATTAAAATCATGAAAGAACGTTATGTAAGTCATTTGGTATTAAAAATCGCAAGTGAACCTTTTAAAAGCTATAGGCTTGCTGCGGGTAGGTTCGCTGAATTAAACTACTGACTTGATATACAGGAAAATTCAACAACAGAAAACACATACACCAGACTGAGACATAAAGATAAATGAAAAAAATACAACATGTTACATCTAAAAGTGGTAGAGAGAGAGAAAAAAAAAAGGTGAGGTAGAGAGAGAAAAGGGAATAAATAAGTGGATAGATAGGTGGATAGATAGATAGATAGTAAGGTGATCAGATGGATAAAGAGAGAGAGAGAGAGAGAGAGAGAGAAATGGGGGCGATAGATATTAGCCAAGAATCAGTCGGTTTGGAGTCGGTTCGTTGGTGTGTGTACCTGGGAAATGACATGAAAAAATCAATTCTTCAGGAGAAAAAAAAAAGGAAAATGGATGTCTCCGAGACAAAATTTTGATCGGCTTTATAGGCCAACTTTACCCCCAAAATGGGCCTACCGATTTATTTGGTATTTGTATGGAAAACATAAATATACCCATGGCACATATTGACACAGATTGCGTCATATTTACATTGACTTGCTTGGTACAAAAGGACGTGCTCACATAAAACGGGCTGTATAGCACCTTTTGGACCCCGTTACGTTGAGAGTCATGCCAGCCCAGACAATGGTTAACGCGACGTAGTCTAATACCCCCGGATACACTAATGTATGCATGCTTCGATTTAAAAAAAGAAACATCTTGACAACCCCACATCCTTCCAGAGACCTGCCAGACAAAGCATCAGATAGTGTATGCAAAATGCATGTCATTTAAAGCCGTGTTATTATGCTTAGAAGGCAAAGAAACACAAAAGTCAAGTGATTAGTATCGTAACCAGGTGTTCGGGAGAGAAATATATATATATATATTTCTAAAATACATCAGTAAACAGGTGTAGGCTTGTAAATTTTACTTCATAATTCTAACGATGAGCTGAAGATATGTAAAACAATTTATACCCTCAGTTGAATTTGTGGAAATGTTCATTTTGTTATTAGAAACGATGCTAACGGTCACAGGGTGAGTGAAAGACTAATTTTGGAATGCTGTAAGATGACGGTAGAGGATAACCTTTCGTCGTAGGGGAATCCCCATTAGGTCATCGAGGTGACTCTCGGGCAGAGCGCGCAAACACATGTACACACGGAACCATTCCTCAATTGTATATGTGCACCGTCTAACAACACGTTTATGGTCGTGTGCATTTACCGACTCGATTAATGGTAAAAAGATGTTGTTACTTATTATTTTATACGAGGCGGAGGACGGGAGGCCATAGACATCAATAGATTCATTCAACTGACCGTGCAAATGTAACGGGTGAGTAGACAGTAGACACACCTATTAAACGTTGTATTTTTCATTTGTTATGTGTGGGACGTTATAATATTATTCATATTCACTTTCAGCTTCTTTGGCTATGTCATGATTATAAGACAGCTGCATATTAGACGTTGTGTTCGCTTATCGCAATTATCATATTTCACAGTGAAATACATAAATCAATAATAATGAATAATACTGTACATCATTTAAGGATTTCTGTTGTTCTTGCTTGTTGTCCCACGGTTTACGCTCCTGGAATATCCGGTAGTATTCTTATACATATTTCCGGTTGAAAATTAAACATAATGTTTCAGTCAAGGTTCACAGAGCATGTAAAAGTAATCTTTCAAGGGCTTGGCAGTCTCTTTCTGGTACAATTTTACCAATCCCATGTTAATATTGTTATTTGAATGTAAACAAAATCTTTGTAACTATGGCTCGTTCACTTTTTGCACTTTTTGTTGTTGTTGTTGTTCTGTTTGCATTTGCCAGGCACCTGCCTCTCTTTTCTATGGCAGGTATTCGCCAACGTGGTCAAATAGTTTAGTGCAGAGAAAACGCTTCGGAAAATAACCGTGTAAAAGAAAAAAAAATTATTTGATTTTATTCATTGATTTCTCTATCATTTTCCCGGAAAAGGGAAGGAGTGGAGGGGTTGGGGGGCGGGGGTGGGGTTCAGACTTGGTTTATACTGGGGTGTACAACTGAAGTCTCCGAACCTGTACCCATTAATTCCAAGGTTCATTAAGGATCAATAAAAGTGTAACCATGGTCAGGACTTTCGATGGAAAAGTGAAATGATTTCAATGTTTGCATCTGGGATTCGCACTTGAGCGAGAATTAGGGTGAGGTGTTTTTATTCTGAAGAAAAAAAGTGACCCATGATTAAGGTCGAGTACTAAAAGTTGGTCCATACTTATAGAGCTTCAAGCGTAGAAATCATTCCCCATGTTTATGATGATTTGTGGGGCCCAAAAAGCGACTGAAAGTAGGAGCACATCCCTGTATACCGTATTAGGCGAGCAGGGCTCCCTCCCTATGGGTGATTATGAACAAAATATATGGTTGACATTTTGAAGCTACTGAATCGTATATAAGGAAAGGAATATTCATATTGTGGTTGTACAGAAGGAAAACAGCGCCGGTGAAAACTTATACTCGCAAACTTCAAATAGAAGGACATTGAAAGAAAGAGAGAGAGAAAGAGAGAAATAGAAAGAAAGAAAGAAAGAGAGATGAGGGGATAGGGGTGGAGAGAGAGAAGGGGGAGAATAAAAAAGAGAGGGAGAGAGACGTGCTAAGAAGTGGATCGTAAAGGAAATAAGGACACAAGGGTCTAGATTTTAAGCGGTTGACATATAAATATTACAATTTAATGTGTCGACTGATCAAAATTCGTATGCAAGATAACAAAGCTCAGCAATTGTCATTAGATCTTCGTATAAATTCGTTGATATTTTTTTGTTGTTTGTTTATTTTTTAATCTCACTGAAATCATTCATCCAATTTTCCCGTCAGAATTTGACAAATATTGCTTTTAGATTGATTTTAGATTTCCTTTTGGACTATAAATTACTTTTAGATAATGATTGCAGAGTACACGTATACCAATTATGATAAATTTGAAGCTTAATTTCCTTTATACATGTTAGTGAATAGAGTCAAATTTTACAAAAAATGAATATACGTTCTTCTTTATATCTAGAGCTAGAGTTACTTCCCTTGAACACGTGGTAATTTCATTCGGATATGGAGAACAACAGCGAGGAAACGCAGGGAAACGGAAAAGGAAATGAAACAGATGGTACCAAAGAGGAAGAAAATATGCGGGCTGCAGGCAGCGGAGATACAGAGAATGGCGTAGTCCAAAATGTGGCTGATGGTATCAAGGCAGAAGGTCCTGAAGGTGGGTATATTCGGCTTGAGTTATCTGCGATTGTTAACTTTGTTGAATTCATACGTGAATATAAGCTGTGCAATTACTTTTGCATAATTTTAAAATGAAAATTGTACCCCGACCCGACCCCGACCCGACCCGACCCCGACATTAGAATGTATAATCAAGACAATCAATGTTGTGTTATTTCTCGATATGTAATGATAGATAACATAATCAAAATAGTAAAGAAAAATAGGACTCTTTATTCGATTCTTTGCTCATTAGGATTTACCGACCAGACAAGTTAAGTAGTTGCATATTTCTCCATCATTTTGCAATAATCTGAATATTAAACATAACCATAAATGTTCTTTTTTGCAACTGTCACTATTGTTCGCAGTAAAAGAATGGACGGTTTATTCAATTCTTTGTTCATAAGAACTTACCAATAACATTAGCAACTTTAATTGTATTTCTCCCCATCATTTGGAATAATCTGCATAAACTCTAAATATTACTGCCATTTTATTTTTCGTGGTATATTTCTTCCTTCATTAAGTGAAGAAATTGAGAGCTTCAATACGGATACCGACTCTCCTGAAAATCACTTTGAGTTAAACAAAATATTTGTGTTTTTGTTTACACCTTAATGAAAAGTATTTCTTTAAAGGAATGAACATCATTTTTTTTTGTTACGTGACTTTATTGTCCGTTTAAAGATAAAATAGAGCTCTAGACATGCAGTATTATGAAATCAATAATTGGGACAGATTGATTATGTAGTAAATAAGAATAGGTATTTAGTGTAGGACTTTGTAATCGTCAAAATGATACGAAGTTGACTCGGTCTAGTTAAAGGGCACTGGCCCTTCACGTAAAAATAGGTATGTGGGACTACTCACACATGTGGCCTGATAAGTTTAGTCCAAACACGTCAGGGATTTCTCATCATATTTCGAATTTGAGGGTATTTGTCTAAGCGTGGCAAAATGTCCCCCTTATGCGTAGACTAATTGCATGACGATCTCTTACCACATTTAATTACGATTATATTCAAATATGTTTGAATCTTTTGAAGTGATGTTGCTGTGAGTATCAGTCCCTGAATAGTTCTCATTTAGTGGTGATTTATTCCATTTGGAGAAATTATTAAGAATAGTTTAAAATACTCAAACATTATTGTTGCCTATGCGACAATCAGGAGAAAAATATCAAGTCCCTAGAAGTCTGCTAACTTCTGCTTGGATACTTTTTGGATACAGAGTTCGAAGAGCTGGATGCCACTGAAGATAACAATATTCCAATTCCACAAGGGAAGACAGACCAGACAAATGCCTCGAATTTGGAAGTCTCAGAGCAGGCGGAACCTGTGTCGAATCCACGTTGAATCCATGTTGAATTGACCAACATTCTCACACTTAATAGTGAACAGCGTTAAACCTCTATGGCGTGTAGGCGACCAACGATTTAAAGTTGTCACCCCCTTAAATATTGCAAAGTAGACATGTACTCGTGTGCATTCCTTCTTCCGTTTTTACTTTTCATTGATTGTAGAGACGGCATGACGTAAACATTTATATGAAAATTAAGTCACTAGAAGTCTGTTAAGCAATACTTGAAAACTTTATTGTAATCAGAAATCGAAAAACCAAAAAACCCCAATTCATACAGCAACATAATGAAGTAAATGTATCTAGAAGCAGGTATAATAATGTTTATCATAATAATAATAATAATAATAGTGGGTTCTAGTATAGTGCTCATGTCTGTCAGACTTGACACTCCTGGCGCTCCCGATTAAACATAAATAAATATAAATATATATATATATATATATATATATATATATATATATACATATTTATTAAAGGCGTATTAATTTTTTTTTATGAAAGGTCAGTTATCGTGGCTGCTAAGTGAAGCGAATTCCAACTTGAAAATGTAAGCGTGATTGTTGAGCATGCATTTATGTTAAATTTCCACAAAATTTAATTACAAAATAAAATACTGCATGACTCTATCGAACGAGAAAGAACTTTGCTATTGCGGTATGATAATATTTTTAGCGATATGATTTATACGCACAAAATCTCGATTTTCCCGGGTTTTTTATTCTTCTTTAATCCATTGTCACACATGATTATTAACATCTAATTACTACATGTATCATATCAGTACAGGTTATTCGTACTTTCATTTAAAAATATTCACATAATAAATGTCATTTTAGATACTCCTACCGAGAAAGATGGAGAGGACCTCTTCGAGTATGTCATCAAAGAAATTCCTGTATCCATCTCAGTGTGTACATCAGGGTATGACTTCAACGTACAAGGCATTGTGTCCTTCCTGAAAGATATTATGAAGTATTATCCGGAACTGATCAAAGAAGTCAAGTTCCATGCGCTACCGTACAACGATCTCGATCATTATGAATTTCCAAAGGAAAACCCAGTTGATGTGATGCTTCTGTGCCACTCCATCAACAACAGAGGGTTTATAATCACAGACGTCATGGATGCCCTGTATAATGAGTACCTTCCATACTGTGCGAGGATCGTAGGTAATTACTGCTCCTTCTTAAGTAGACCGGCTTGCAGCCTTGCAGGTGATGTACTGCAGGAAGGTCTGTTTGCATGATCTATAAGGTGGTGAATTAAGAGATGTCGCGAGATCATTTGGATTGTAGGGTTTGTCTGACCACATTTGCAGACAAGCTAGCTGAATATTCCCCCAAAAGGGTCGTCATATTTCCAAATTATTTTCCAAATGGCGACAAGGGCAAAGGTAAAAAGTGGAAGTGGCTCTAAATATATGCAACTCTTCCCTTCACAGATTTTTTTTTTTTCAACGAACAAAAAAAAAAAGTTTTTGGACTTGCCGATAAGGAGCAAAATGTAAAAGATTGAAAACAGAGATTTTGCTGGGGGGGGGGGGGGGGTGTGCGCAATTTTTAAGACATCCTTCGAACGACGCCCCAGAAGTTCGTAGTGTGGTATTTGTTCTTTATTGATAATGTTTTGTGTGTGTGCGATTCTGTGTAATTAGATAGGTCTGAAAGGGGCATTGTTTACGATCATGTTAACAAAATAATTTGTGATTATTAAAAAGTTCACGACAACATAATGTCCATAATAATCAATTCTATGTTGTAAAATTCTGGAATATTTTTTTCTATTTTCGAAAAATCCTGTTTTTTAACATTCCAGGAAAGAACAAGATGGGGGTGATCGTCCATGACTTTGATGATATGAGAGAAACAGTTCAATCATCTCGCATGGATTCATTCAAGTACAAGCAACCAAAGGCCTTCGAGACTACCAGCCTTCAGATAACATGTGGACACATCAAGGAGAAAGAGCAGGTCCTAGAACAGATGCAAGAAGTAGACCGAGAAAAGCTTCTTGAGTTCCTGAAGAATGCGTCAAAATGTCCCGAAGAAATGGTTGCGAATCCAAGCTTATTGAAAAAGGCGTATTCCAGTAAGTTACATATGGACAAAATCTTTCTTTTTTTCTGCTGTGATTTTCTTTTAGTTCTTCATTATGTGTAATTCATATAGTCCATAAAATGTCAATGATTTATGAAACTAAAGTTGTCTTTATCCGCTCTTAACCCTCATCCACTAACGACTAAACGAGTCCTGGAAAACCGCGCTACCAGCAATGATGTGATCTGACGATTTATTGACAATCACTTCATATAGCAAATGACATTCACTGGGCAAAATACATGCCAGCAGAGTTCACAGTGATGCAAATTGATGCTTGAATGCTTTTGATGCATACACTAATCTTAGCTCACAATCCCTTTATGACCCTCGTGGTACACAGTCACAATACAAATTCTACCTGAACTTGTGTCCGTTTCTTGCCACAGTTTTATGGTTGCCTGACATATTACCCCAACCTTTGCCTCAAACAATAACCTAGAAAAATTTTGTCTCAATATTCATCAATCGATATTCATTTTATGTTGGCAATTTTTGTTCATGTTTTGATTGAGTTATAGAAATCAAATTAATTGAATTGAATTGAATTTAAAAGTGAATGACATGTAGATATAAATATATAAAAGAAACCTCCATACCAGTATAAATATCTTTTCAATTCATTTATTGACGGGGGAATCCAGAATAAGCTCCGACAGCTTTGCGAAAAAGATGTTGAATGTGACGAAAAATATTTAAAGTATCAATAGCTGGTTGGACAATTGCCCTGTCCATCTGTTGTTGGTAGTTGATGCTTGTCAGGCCTGAAATGTTGTTCCCTTGTTTGGGGGAGGGGGGGGGGGGGAGGGGGGGAACAAAGTTTCCGATAAAAGCCGCATGTCATGAAGCTGTATTGACATGTCCGATTTGTTCCACCTGTAATCTTGTCCTGTATATTACGTGTGTCATGTATGATATATATACAGTATCTTTTTCTCTCTCTTTTTCTCTGTGAAGCTCTTTACTTATTCTGTGAATCAGTTAAGGAGCAGGTAGGGGGCAGTCAAGATAGCACATCCGAAGGATCTAGCGTGCATCGAAGTGAAGCTGAACGAAACGATCATGGTACGTTTCGCAATGCCGAAGCTCAGAATGGCAATAAAAAGCGATTGGCGAATGAAAGGCAGTCTTCAACGCAACCCAGCCAAGCGAGCATGTACGTAACAGCGATTAAACTGTCCCACCTTCGCAGTAATTCACTAAATTAAAAAAAGCTCTCAACTTTCCCGAGATATCGACCAACAGACGCCTGTCAGTGGGCTTTCCTGATATAAATCATTTAAACGATGTCAGAACGTATCAGTACGCAATATGGCAGTATGTCGAATTCTTATCTCTCGAAAAGATTCGAGATTAAACGTGATTCTTTCAACGGAAAATAATTAATCCGCCATCCGACACAGTGAACCAACTGTCCAAGTGTCCATGAACGAAGGTTCGTTCGACACACCAAAGATTCTTCATAGCCTCTTGCTTAAGCCCACCTTCATGATATAATTTATAGATAAGAATGAGAACACCAAAAACCAGAATTTATTTGCATTTAAGCCCTCGATCGAGTAAGAAGCCGACTCGGCTTCAAATCGTAAACAATCGCAGTACTGGTCGGACATCACTACGATTCTGAGCCGATTGTTCTTTTTTATCCTGCAAGAAAGCACGAAATCCTATAAGATTGAGATTAGTGTAATCATATCAATATTACAATTTCAGTTATTAAAAATGTACATGTACATGTTTGACTGATCATCACGTGCTATATTACATGTTCTTTCAAAATCATAGTCAGATTGTAGAGCTGTGCGATGGGCTACCTAAACATTCTTAAACAAGAACCAACAAATATAATTTTGTAAATATAATTTTCTAAATATAACTTTAATAATGTCTGTTTTGTAGGTCAAACGAAGAAAGCTACATCCGGTGGTTCTCACCAGACACTTCAAGCTAGCGTGGATGAAAGGGAACTAAATCCATCGAGGGAAGCATCTCCCATAGGACAGCAAAGACCAGGCACATCTAACTTGGCGGCAGCGGCACACACCCATAGTTTACCATCGCCTCGTCGTATCTCAATCTCAGTCTGTTCTTCCGCCTACGAGCAAAACGTCCAAGGGTTCATGTCCAAGCTTACCAAGTTGCTAGCCGCACAGCCTCATATGGTCGCGGACGTCCGTTTCCGAAGCCTACCGTACAACGACATTGATTCGTTCAGGTTTCCGTCAAACGACACCGTTGATGTTATGGTCCTCTGCCATTCAGTCCAGAATCGAGGGTTCTCAATCACCAATGTACTGAATGCTCTCTACGAAAAATATCTGCAATATTGCCATGATGTGATAGGTAAGTTAATACCTTTTAAAAGATGATGTGTAATTTTGTTCTCAGTTATAGCTCCATCCGTGTGGACAGATTTCTTGTTCGTTCTTATCAAAGTTCAAGATTGATTCATCCAATTTCCTTATCTTATCTGTTTACCTTTTAAACAATTTGAATCCCATTCAGTACGCATTCATGATATGTATAATTTAAACTTTGACATGAGTGTTATTGGAGCCGTGCTCATAATAGAGATGAACTTCCCTCACGACTAGTTTACCTACCATCTTTAAGGTTCTTTCTCCCAAATAATGATCATGCTTTCACTCATGAAAGTTTATACTGTAACCTTAGCTTTCATTTAATTTTTCCAAACTCTAATCGGTTTAACGTCGTTCAAGAGTCGCTGCAGACATCAAATGTTTTAATCAGGACATAGAAATCGGCTCGAAAAAAACGAATTACAGATGAGAGTTTAAATTTTATGGTGAAACGATCGTAGATCAAATCAACATCTACCTTTTTATTTTCCTACAACATTCAGGAAAGAAGAAGCTGGCCGTGATTGTTCACGATTTTAGCGACTGCAAACCAAAGACCCTTGATGTCAGGATGGAATCGTTCAGGAGGTCACAACCTTTGACATTTGAGCTCGTTGACTCCGTGATCGTATGCGGTAGCCTGGGGAAACCAGGCAAAATAAAAATAAGAGATGAAGATATGACACGACTTACAACCTTCTTCGAAAGAGCGAGATTTGAACCAAAAGAGAACAATGCCGACGACCAATCATTAATAGAAAGCCTGCAAGGCACATCCGGCGGTTTTCACCAGACACCACAAGCTAGCATGGATGAAAGGAACCAAAATACACCGAGGGAATCATCACTCATAGGTCAGCAAAGACCAGGCACATCGGACGTGGCGGCAGCGGCAAACAACCGAGGTTCACCTGGCCAGCGGCCCATGGCTTCTAGAATGACTGTCACATCTGCACCACAAGTGTCAACACCATCGCCACGTCGTATCTCAGTCTCAGTCTGTTCTTCCGCCTACGAGCACAACGTCAAAGGGTTCATGTCCCAGCTTACCAAGTTGCTAGCCGCACAGCCTTATGTGATCGCCGACGTCCGTTTCCGGAGCCTACCGTACGCAGACATTGACTCATTTAGGTTTCCGTCAAATGACCCCGTTGATGTGATGGTCCTCTGTCATTCGGTACAAAATCGAGGGTTTTCAATCACCAATGTACTGAACGCTCTTTACGAAAAATATCTGCAATATTGCCATGATGTGATTGGTAAGTTAATACTTTTTTTAAATGACGTCGTAATAAATTTTTTGTTTGTTCTTTCCAATGTTTAAGCTTGTTTTTATGCAAAGTGTTATCTTTTTTAAAATCTTTATATGTTTATTTTGACAATTTCAATTGGTACACAGTCATGATATGTATAATTTAAATTCTGACATAAGTGTTGTTGGGACCGCGCTCATAATAGAGACGAACTTTTTTCACGACTAGTTTACCAGTTCAAGGGATCTTTCTCCAGAATATGGTTCATGCATTAGCTCATGAAAGTTGATACTGTAACCTTTAGCTTTCATATAATCTTTCCACACTCTAATCAACTTACCTTCGTTCGCGAATCGCTGAAGACGTCAAATTTAATAATCAGGACGCAGAAATTGGCTTGAATAACACAAATCAATGTTCAGAGTTTAAAGTTGTCTTTGAAACGATAGTGGGTGATAATTAAAATCTACCCTTTTCTTCTCCTTTAATATTTTAGGAAAGAAGAAGCTGGCTTTGATTGTCCATGATTTTAGCGACTGCAAACCAAAGATCCTTGATGCCAGGATAGAATCGTTCAGGAGGTTACAACCTTTGACATTTGAGCTCGTTGACACCGTGATCGGATGCGGTAGCCTGGAGGTCCCAGGAAAAATAGAAATGAGAGATGAAGATATGACACGACTTGCCATCTTCTTCGAAAGAGCGCGGTTTGAGCCCAAAAACAATACTGTCAACGTGCGGTCATTAATGAAAAGCCTCCGAGGAATGTTCAAGTAATAACCAGCAGAAACCAAAAAGGAATCGAAAGTAGGAGAAGAAGAGGTAAAATCGACGAGGGCGCAGAAATGGATAATATTTCACATCTGTTACAAGTAATTACTGCAACCCCTGACCCCCCCCCCCCACGCACACATAATCATTTCTCCCCACTCATCACTCACAAAATTACGTGATTTGTTATCATTATACCCTGTTTACATGACACTGTACATATGTCAAAGGTCATTGTGAATACCTCAAAGGCCATCGTGCATACATCAAACGTCATTTTACTTTCGCCTAAGGTCATTCATTATATATCAACGTTTTTCCTTCCCACTCAACACACACTATTTTATGTGACGTCTTATCCTTATGGTTAACCAAATCGTTATCCTTGCCATTATAAAGAATAGCCTAGTGCAATCTTTTTCCTCCATTTTTTAAACAACTTTTGGAGGGCTTTCATTTGCTTTAGTGTAATGTAGACTATAAAACTCAATACATGTACCTCTTGACTCGATTTGATGATATTTTCCTGAAAACATAACGCTTGTGACTGCCGCATTGCTGAGAGTAAATGTAAATATATATATATATTCCTGTATTATTTCACTGTTGATCGTGTACTAGGAACTGCTTTGCATGAAATGCGTATATTGGCTTCTCATTAGAGTATGGAAACGTTACAATTGGAACTGTACCGTGAGCATTAAGCATACAACTACCGATGATGTAACATTTTCACGACATACTTATATCGACTTTATAATAATAGTGATACTGTATTTCGCCCATTTTGACCCTAAGAATTTAGTAAGCTTATTGTGCCAAAATATTAATCAATGCTTTGCCTTGAAATAACTCGTTTCTTTTAAGCGTTTTCGTACACTTCGTGATCAATAAGTGAATCGATTCTCCATGTCCTGTTGCCAAAAAAAACAGTGGAATATACTTTCTCTCTTGATGGAATACATTTTGGGGAAACAGGATTTTATCATTAACAATCATGATTATACTGACAACACTAAAGGGAAAAAAAGAACTTTTGTGCCTTTTAATATTTACATTATTTCTTGAAGTTGACGGAGTTATATGAGATGTAAATGGCGTATGAAAAGTATGCATATACAGGGGTATTTCCCTGTGATGTATAGAAATGTGTAACTTTATAACGGCATTGTACATTTCATTCAGTTCAGAAATAGTAGATGGATTATAAATTCTTCCTTTCGATTGAACTAATCTAAATTCTATCCGTGGTTGATTTCCATGGTAATGACTCAATCTACACACGCGTACATTCTACTGTATAAGTATATAAAAAGTATAACAATTTAACATTATGTTGTGTCAATAAGTGGTCTATCAATTGTACAGGTTCCCGGTTATTGTTTCGAATGTGACAAAACTACACGTAGATCTCATTATCATTGTTATATGATGAATATACATGTTTATCACAAGTCCTTCATCAAAAGAGTGGTGTTAAAAAATAAAGAGGGGGGGGGGGGAACAATTATAGCTACTCAACTGCTTAAATGCATATAATGCGATATCAATACAATAAATAATACATATATTCAGGATTGTTTTTCTTTCTTTTGGTGTTGTTGCTATATATGATATTGTTTTATATAATGTTAAGTTGCCTTTATTTTACTTATATTACATGTACTTGAATTTGGTACACCGCGATGGTAGTTAGTGTATCTTCTGTTAATGCCGTATAATAGCCAGACGGTGATTTGTTCTCTGAAAGTTTGTATCTAAATGCTCATATAAGGATAAAAGGGTACAAGTTGTCACTTTATTATCTCATAGAATGTTCATTTTATCTTATTTGGCTTGAATGTATTGCTTAAATTCAGTATACCGCTGTGATAAGGGATCAATATGTTTTTGTCTATTCCGCCTCATAGGAAGACGGGAATTTCATGTTCTCGGAAAATTGGAATCTCAATGATCATACAAGGAAAAAAAGTACGAGTACATGTATCATGAATGACAAAGTGATGTGTTCAGTACAACTATCTCTATCGGCACTCAGCTATCGGTGAAAACAGCCGAATTTTACTCTGTTGAAATTCACATGTTTCTATTCTCTAGATAATATTCAATTGCGTACTTTCAAAAGTCATGATTTCAGCTCCTCTTTTTTGGTGAAATAAAAATGTGATAAAACCCTCACACTTTATTCTTGTAGCGTGTTTATCTTTCCAACGTGATGTAGGAGTATCAAATATATGTGAAAGGTGACACAAGGTTTATTTAAAGGTGACCCATGCAATGCGCATGTACATTCTGCAGATCTGTATAGTTCTGCAAATCAGCAAAACTGTCGACTGTTTGATCAAAATAAATATATATATATTTTAGAATTATCTCATATTTTACCACAGCCTGATAAGCCCCGCCTATACAAATCCCCAAATCTTTTTTTGCATGCCTCTTTTGATATCACAGCAAGCTAAAATGAGCATAATATTCAAAGGATTGTGCATTTTACCGTACATAGGTGCACTTGCAATAGCGACGTCACAGGCTTTTATACAATATCATCTAACACTATTTCTTGTCGGCCGATACTGGAACCTGTCTGACATATCAGTGGCTGTTGAAGTTGTGAGGTGATATAGTGTAAACACTGATTGTTGACATTTACCGAAGATGCGAAGGTTAAGGCTTGCAATAAAATGCAGATTCCCATGCAATGATACCGACGAGACCTATACGAGACCGACAACACACCGCATGATACATTCCATTCTCACAATCGATTGATTTGATTGCGTGGTTGCTTTTATTCATATTTCAGGAAAAAAATAACAAAGCGTAATACATTTTACAAAACATTTACATATCTTTAAGTAATATAGAAATAATTAATACTGAATCGTATTAATTAATAACATGAAAAAACGTTCTATAAATCATTAAAGGTATAGATAGACCAGTTTTGGAAATGCTTCCATCTCAAAAAATGAAATGGAAGCTCTTATTACCAATCGTGTGAAAGAATATGTTTTGACTAATACGTGAAGATACACATTTTGCCGGGAAATCGCCTACTAATTGAGATATTTGGTAAATTATTATATCGATCCGACCTGGATAGATATCGCGAATGCACTTCCACATTGAACATTTGGGCATATATTTCTGATTTTTTTGCGTACTTAGGTTGAAGTATTGCCATCTAAACCTCTGAAGGCAATATTAAAACAATATTGAATGGATATTTTGCACCCAAAACCCTTGAACCGCAGTTTTAACAATACCGGTCTATATCTTTAAATAATAAAAAATCGCAAGTGAACCTCCTTAAAAGTTTAAGGCTTAATGCGTGTAGGTTCACTGAATTACACTACTGACTTATATACAGGAAAAAAACAACAAGAATATACATACGCTAGGCTGAGACATAAAGATAAATGAAACAAAATACAACATGTTACAGAGGGGGAGAGAGATAGAAAAAAAGGGATAGATATAAAGTGGATAGATAGGTTGATATAATAGATATTTAGGTGAGGAGATAGATAGAGATAGAGAGAGAGAAATCGATGTCTCCGAGACAACACTTTTGATAGGCTGTGCAGACCAACTGTATCACAAAATGGGACTTACCAATTTATTTTGTTCAGGTATTTTTAAGGAAAACATAAATATACACATGGCACAAATAAACATGTACTTGCTTGGTACCATAGGATGTGCTCACATGAGAAGTGCTGAATAGCACATTTCGTACCCCGCGAAGTTGTGAGTCATGCATGCCTGCCCAGACGATGCTTTGCTGGAGTAAATGTGTGACTGTGTTGTCAACATCATACGTTGTCCAGGTAACATTGTTCTCTTGTTCAGACTCACTTTGTGTATATAATTTTGTAATTTAATTTTAAAAAATGATCACGAGCGGCTAATACAGTTTAAATGCTGGCGAATAAAGGTTCTCCGCTGGAGAGGGGGGGGGGGGGGGGGTACAGTGTCAAAAGTGCTTACCAGCAAAATTGCTTACATAACATACAGACCAATAAACAAAAAACAATGAAGGCCCGGCGCACACTACACGATATGTGATCAGATTTGGGAAGAATTTGCAATAGCATTTGATATGAATATATAAACTTGTAAAATCTGAATTAGCGAGGATCTGGATAGTCATATGATTGATAAAATCTCAGTTTCCAAGGCCAAGCTGGTTAGGTCTTGCCAGAGACGAGCCAGGCATAACATCAGATGATGTATGAAAAATGCATTTCATCTAAAGCCATGTTATTATGCTTCTATAATGATGATCTGAAAGTATGTAAAACAATTTATACCCAAAGTTTTAATAATAGGCGGATAATTTTTATTTTCTTATTAGAAACAATGATAACAGTCACAGGCTGAGTAGGAGACTAATTTTGGAATGCTCTGGTTGACCGCGGAAATTCCCCGTTTCTTGAAATACAGAGTGAGTCAGAAAAAGTGTCCCACTTTTTAAAAGTTGTATTGTTTGAAGTATGAATATTTAATCATAGGTTTTATGATAATATGTCTTGATAGAGTTATCCTCCCAGTACATTTAGGTACCATTTTCATTTGAATCTCTGCATGCATGACTGAACATCAGATAATTTTTGCAAGACTGCCAGATCTCACTTGCGCCAAGTTGCTGTTGAGGAATATAAAACAGTGCATTGAACAAAGACAGTCAGACAGTCAGACAGACACACACACTCACACACACACACACACACACGCACACACACAACGCCCATACACGCACACACACATAACACACTCGGTGACAACCCGGGGCACTGCTACTCTTGACAAGATTCTAACGGACATGGCTGATGTATACAATGATCCTGTCATCTCGGCACCGATATCGTCTAGCGACCATTGCCTAATCACATACCGGCCACTTTCAGAAGTCCCTCCTAGAAAGTCGTTCAACATTTCATTTCGACCATTCTGTGACTCATCTGTACGAGCGTTTGGTCAATGGATTACGCAGATGGATTGGTCTACGCTTCGATAATCTGATGCTAATGGCTGCCGATTTCCTGAGAACTACTCAACATCAAGTACAGGCAATTTTTCGAAATTGTCAGTGTGAAACGACGCCCTAACGACAAAGAGTGGATTAATGATCGTATTCGTAGAGCCATCATTAAGCGTAATACTACCTACAGAACCGGCTCAGCAACCTACAACACGCAGAGAAACCTTGTCCAGAGAGAGATAAAAGATGCTAAGGACAATTTCTATGCTCGCAAGGTGCACCATCTGAAAAGAGCGGAGCCCGGTAAATGTCAGCAAAAAATCACTTTGCCTCTATCATCCGACGACAAATCTAATAACGAAATAGCTAATGATCTGAATACCTATTTCGCTAACATCTGTTGTACATTGCCTCCCTCTCGATCCGTCTGCTATGCCGGCATACTTACCTGCAGCATCACCGCCTCCGACGATCCTGCGACATCAAGTCTACCTCAACACCTCGAAGGCCTGCCATCCAGGCGAATGCCCTTCACGTCTTTTGAAGGAGTTTGCCTTTGAGCTGTCCGAGCCTTTAACCCACATTAGCAACTACTCCGAAGATCAAGATTACATTAATCTTGATCGAAGGAGACACGAACGAACGAACGAACCCACATTTTTATGTGCAGTCTAAGAGAGGGTTGTTTTCCTAATATTTGGAAAAAATGCTTCTGTGTGTGCAATACCGAAGGTTTCACCAGTGACTAGTTTTGACCAACCCTGTCTGACTCCTCGTCTGATGTTAATACATTCACTACACTCTCCTTCTACCCTGATGCATGCAAACTGATTCCAATATAGACGTTGTAGCAGTCTTATATCTTTCCTATATATATATCAAGCTTTTTCATCTCTTCAAAAAGTTCTGAATGTTTTACTTTATCGAAAGCCTTTGAATAATCAATAAAACCATGTACACATCCTTTTGCATTTAGACTGCTCTCTCCGTTATATTTCTAACCACAAATAT